ATTACATGATTTGTACTACCAGCTCGCAAGCCTATCAAGCCAAAATCGAGCCAACCCCAAATCCGGTCGAGCCTAATTAAGCCAGCTCGATTCGGAACACTGGCTCTTAGACATCTTCAGTAGTATTAGTATCTAAATCTAATAAACAAACCTGGTTTGTATAGATTATCAAAAGCTCAATTTAGTAACTCAAAAAGATAATTACCCTTTACCCTAAATACAAGTTCTTTTGGATGCTTTAAATAGATTATTATTATATAATTCACTCAACCTTACCAGTAAGTACTGCAGTTGAAGTAAAAGAGTTGAACAAAATTAAAGATAGGGTGAATGTAGATCAATTTCTATATATGTATATTGTCTAAAAAAATTTTATGCAAAAATTGAACATACATTACATATAAAAGTTTTTAAAAATACAATTTTTTCTTATAAAATTTTTATATTATATACATTAAATCTATCTAACTATAATAATATAATTTTAAACTGTTGTTATATTCAAAAAAAAAACATACTTACATATATCGTTAATTCTTCCTAGAATAACCAAAATTTGTCTAGATTACACAATATAAATAACACATGATCATCACCTAATTTCAATTAAATGTTATTGTAAAAAAAATTAGTAACATAATCACTAGTAAAATTGATTGACATTCACCCTACCCTTAAAACCACTTTCACCACTTTCTTTGGTGTATATATTATGCACTTTGGATTAACAACTGCCCTGGCTACCTTTCAACATCTCATGGATTATCTTTTCCAAGACTTGATAGAAGAATTTATCATCATATATTTAGATAATATTAATGTTTATTCAAAATCTTTTGAGGATCATTTAATTTATTTAAAAATAGTTTTTGAATAACTGACATTAGCTAGTCTTACTTTGAAGTCCTCAAAATATTTCTTTGCTCATTGAGAGTTAAAATTCTTAGATTATATAATGTATGAATGCTCAAGATAGCACATATATGCGCTTACAAAAATAAGTAGATTCTGTGCCAGAGCATAAACACCCAGATTTGAACATATATGCCTAGAAAAAAATATAAACATTTTAATTCAAACAAATTCGTTCACAATAGAGCAAAAACGCGCTATAAAATTTAATGTAAATAAGTCTTCAAAGTTTAAAAAAGTTGGATAACTTCCACATCCATTTTGATATATAAGTATTAATTATAAAGTAAACTTATGAAATTCGACTTGTAACTTTAATAAAACACTGTGAGACTCAATTCAACGGACCGAATTGACTTTAAATTCACATAGTTCTATTAAGACTCGAATTCGTCGTATAGGAAACCCTTGCTCAAATTCTTGTAACTCGCGTCATGTGATTTTGTCCGGAAGTTCTTTCCCCTAAGAAAAGTTTTATTTGGAAACGTGAAAGTAAAAAGTTCCCACCTCCTTTGGCATCACCAGCATCAGCGATTTTAAGATATCGGGTTTGAATCCTGATCATTCGTCGCTTTAAACATCAATATTCTTTAAGATCTGTCTCTAGATCATATTAAGACTGATTATTTTAAGTTTATCTTTTACCCAAATCGTTTATATAAACTATCCTTCCCGTACACGGTTGGAGCTTAAATTGGCACTATAGTCTATAATTGTATCCCCGCTCTCCCATTCAACCGTTACATTTGGTACCAATTGTGTAGAATTGAATAAAACGTTCCCTTTTAAATGTAATAAATGATAGTTAGAATTAATTCCTTATTTTATAAAATTTTGAGCCTATATCTCTTTAAAACTTATCTTAAAATATATTCATGGCTCAACGTCCGCCAGTAAATCCAGTTCGGCCTAATCCCGGAAACCCCGGTCAACTACTTAATCCTGCGCCCCAACAAAATCTGATCCAACCGGCGCAGCAGCCTAACCCGGCGCAGCAGGTTAATCCGCCTCAGCAACCTAACCCTGGACAGCCACCCCAACAACCTAATGCCATCGACAATCTGGCAGCTCAAATCGGATTGTTAATCCAACAAATGCAGGTGGCCCCCGTCCCTCAAGTTAATATCCCGAATCGGGAATTAAATTTAGTTGCATACCCGGACTTTAGCGGCGGAGATCAGGACCCCGTATCATGGTTAGATGATGTGGAGAAAGCCTTCGCCGCCAACTTAGTAACCAACGACCGACGGCTCCCTGTTATCGTGCCTTATCTAAAAGGTCCTGCGGCAACATGGTGGGCGACCGTTCAACAACCACCTAACCCTATAAACACGTGGGACGACCCCGCCCAACCCAACGTTAGTTTCCGACCCCATTTTATCTTACAGTTTCGCACCCCTGCCCTTGAAGGTCAATGGTTCGCCCAATTGGCTACTCGTAAGCAGCAACCCTCTGAAGATATTGATACCTATTACACAGCAGTTCAAGAATTGCTTCATCGCATTGAAACAGGAGCTCAACCATACCCGGAAACAGCTAAAGCCCAACTTTTCTTAAATGGGTTACGCCCCGATATTGTGTTAGCTGTCGCCCCTTTTACTCCAAATACACTCCAAGCGGCCTACGATCGCGCTAAAGCGTACGAAGGCGCTTGCAAACAAAGTCTTCCGCACCTTCCCGCTCCTATTAATGTTTTATACTCTTCCTACCTATCACCTAATACCCCAGTTGGATTTATTTCATCTCCTTCAACATCTGAATCGGCTATTGATAAACTGACAGAAGCTGTTAACAAAATGTTGAATCAATTACAAGAACGACGACCACCTACCTCCAGAAACTCTAACAGAGTAGTTTGTTATAAATGTAGAAAAGCAGGCCATATTAGTCAAAATTGTTGTACCCCTATTATTCCTAACCCCCCGCCTAACACCCCCCAAAATTATACCCCGGGGGCTATGTACAACCCTGGGCAGAACCAAGTCCCCGCAACATATTCTTATCCTAATGTAGTCATCCAAAATCATTCAGCACCCGTTGGTCCTAACATTGTTTCTAATAATAATCCTAATGTTAATTCAGGATTAAGTAAGGTTACTGAAACTCAACAACAAGAAGCTCTTCAGACCTTATTAGCTATGGCTGCTAGTTTGGCTCTTACTAATAATCAGGGCAGCACAGATAACCAAAAAAATTCAAACAACCAACCTACTTATATTAGTATTCCAGTCGAGGATATTCCTTTATTCACTGTTGGGTCACATGAGAGTAAAAAGTCTAGTAGTATAGTACGACCTTCTAAACGCCCTCGAGAGGAGGTTGGAGATTTAGAGTTAGCCGAAGAAGAAACATTAGAACAGTTAATAGAAAAGGAAGGTAATAAAAATAAATTAAATAAAGAAAAGGTTGCAGACGTTCCACCTAAGGTCCTACCGGTAAAGCCTAAACGCGTCCCTATTGTAAGAAGAAAAATTCCTGAAGACGAGTTACCTCAGATCTCTTCTTTGGTTTCTCCGTACTCAATCATAACAGACTTACGTGATAAACCAGCCAACATTACTATCAGCCAACTCCTTCGGATTGTACCGGCTATGCGTACTGAGCTTACTCATAGTCTGCATAAGAAAAAGGTTATGCCAAAAAGAAAAGTAAAAGCCAACCTTAGTGTAACTCCTAATAATAAATCCACCGCATTGTACTGTGACGCCACTATCCTTGGAGTGGAAGTCCCTTTAATAGTAGACAGTGGGTCTTCTGGCAGTGTAGTCTCTTCGCATTTATTACGGGACCTCGGTATTAAAGTTGAATGACCTTCCACCATCAACATGGTAAACGTTCATGGTGAGAGTAAAAGAGCTCTCAGAAAAATCTCTGATTTCCCCTTCGCTGTTGCTGGAGTTGAAATCCCCATCGATGTCATCGTAACTGATGCTAATTCCTATCACGCCATTGTTGGCAACGATTGGCTTTCCAAGGTCCAAGCAAAGATTGATTGGACAACTTCTGAAATGACGTTCACTTGGAACGAAATGGAGATAGTGGTGCCTGTAGAGTTTAAGCGATTAACCCCAAAACCCTTAGGTAAAGACCGTCCAACAAAAATTAAGGACCTAAAGGAAGAAGAATCCGAATATGAATCAAGTAGTAGTAGTGAATATGAAGATGAGGAGTTAGAAAACTGAATTTACAGTATAATTACTCTGGGATAGAGGATTATTCTTCAGACTCATCTGAATCGCAGAATACCACAGGATCACGTGTAGCTTCACCGGTTCCTACTCTTCTTGTTTCTTTTTCTTCTATAGTTAATGATAATATTAGTAATAATATTAAACCCTTAAGTACAGCCCCGTCTAAAATTACTAACAATGCAATTTCCTCTACCGATGACCTTGGCAACAATTCCGTCCTGCAAAAAAACATTATTATTAATCCTGATGATATCCGAATTCAAACTTTAAATCAAAAAAATAATAATAATAGAGTAAATTCATCTCCTTCCTCGAGACTCGATTCCGCTTTCTTACCTAATTTTAATAATCCTGACACTTTTATTAGTAAGACTCAAAACTTTTATTCTACCAATACCTTTCAAGTAACTAATGCAAATAAATTAGTATTCTCTTTTATTAATGCCCCCAATGACAATCCCCCTTTAATATTTCTTGAATACGACTCGGATGAGTCGCATGATTCGAATTTTGAGTGGTATGGAACCGCTTGGGAAAATAAAGATCTTGAATATCAGTTTGGGATCAATGATTCAGATGCCGACGACATAATTGATGAGTCACGAAGACAGCTTAAATTAAGTAAGAAAAAAAAAACCCCATTACTGTTGAATGCTTCTACGACTTAGCTAGAAATGCTTATCTTCAAGAAGAGAATGTTAAAAGGGACGTACGAAATTATGTTACTGCTGGAATTATGATAGGAGAACAAGTTGAGGAAATTAAAAATATGTTTGACTATTACTATGAAGGAGATTGTAAAAAGAAAAATACTTATCAGATTGGGGATCTTAGTGAAGCTTATAATAAACAGCTTCGTGAGCTCCTTCATCAAAATTCTAAGCTATTCGTGTAGGAAGGAGAATCGTTAGGATGAGTTAATATCGTTAAACATCACATTCAAACCGGAGACGCTTTACCTATTAAAAAGCACCCATACCGTTATTCCCCTGCGGAGAAAAAGGTTATTAAAGATGAAATTGGATTGATGATAAGAGAAGGAATTATATGCCCTTGTGAAAGTCCTTGGACTTCTCCTGTAGTATTGGTCCCTAAGAAAGATGGTCAAACACGATTCTGTGTGGACTATCGTAAGCTGAACTCGGTTACCCAAAAAGATAATTACCCCTTACCCCGTATCCAAGACTTACTCGATGTCCTAAATAATTCTTCTTGGTACAGCTCCCTCGACTTGGCCAGTGGGTACTGGCAAGTCGAGGTAGAAGAACAAGATAAAATAAAAATGGCCTTCACTACTCCCTTCGGGACTTATATGTTTAATGTCATGCCCTTTGGACTGACCAACGCCCCCGCCACGTTCCAACGCTTAATGGACTACCTCTTTCAAGACCTGATCGGACATTGTGTAATTGTTTATCTGGACGACATAAATGTATATTCTAAAACCTTCAAAGAACATTTATACCATCTGCGATTAGTATTTGAACGGCTTGAAAAGGCTGGTCTTAAACTAAAGCCCTCCAAGTGTTATTTTGCCCATCAAGAGTTGAAATTTTTAGGGCATATAGTAAATAAAAATGGTGTAGCGACTGATCCTAAAAAAATAGAAACAGTAAAAAATTTTCCAATTCCAAAGAACTTGCGGCAACTACGTGGATTCTTAGGATTAACATCCTATTATAGGAAATTTATCAAAAATTTTACCAATATCGCCGCCCCTCTTAACCATCTATTAAAGAAAAATGTTAATTATCGGTGGACTGAAGACCAACAAAAGGCTTTTGAGAGTCTAAAAGAAAATTAACTACCGCCCCGGTTTTGGCTTATCCCGATTTTTAATAAACCCTTTATATTATTTACCGACGCTT